TTGTATCAGATTCTCCAGGGTACTTTCCTGGGGTGGATTTCAGGGTCACTTGTTGTATGTATTGTCATCTTAGTAATAGATAATGCCAACTTGTTTTTTCTAAGCAATTGAACCAATTTAAAAACCTTCCAGCATATATGAAAGTTCTGCTTTACTTCCCTGCCAGTGGCAATTAATCTTTGGAACAGTGAAAAAGAGGCAGGGCAGGGGGAGGAGGAAGGTTATTTCAGATATATAAGAAGGAATGAGAATAAGAGGTATGATGAGTTTGGAAGGAAATTGCAAATATACTGTTATGACACTAACTTAGAAACCTGTGGGAAAGTGGTGGGAGACGAGGCTGAAAGTATGGTGTGCTGAGGAGTTTTTCCTGTAGTCTAAAGGCAGTGAAGCAGGCAAAAGACATCAGATCTACATTTTACAAAACTTGCTGTGACATCTATGTGGAGGATGAGGGGGTGAGGCCTGATACAGGGAGTTTATTCTAATCCAAGGGAGAAATGAGAGGAGGTAGGCTTGAGGAGGATAGAGTCCAGAAGTGCTTGGATCAAAGTCAGTGGTGTTCCCAATTCTGTTGAGTGTGGGCAAAGGGGGAAGAGAAATGGGAACCTTGGTTTTTGGTTAGGTGACTATGCAGGTGGTGATTTCATTCAATAAGTTGTAGAATTCAGGAAGAGGAGCGTTTGAGGTCAGGATAGCAATGATGGGATGTGAAGTTACTTTTAGACATGTAGCATGTGAGATATCCATAGGTTATCTAGTAGAGAGGTTCTGTAAGTGCTTTGAATTTAAAAGAAAGGACTAGGTTGGGGATGTCCTCAGTGTTTGAGTCCTCAGGGTATAGCTGGTGGTTGAAGCCAGGGGAGTGGATGCAACTGCTTATGGAGACTCTGAGGGGAATAAGGGATGCCTGGATGGGTGGGAGACGAGGATCCTGGAAAGTAGACTAGGAAGGAGCAATCAAAGAAGAGGTAAACCAAAAGAAATTAGATCATTGAGCTAAGGAGAAAAGGATCTGCAGGAAGAGGATCATGACTGGTGACCAATGCCCTCAGAAAACAAGTGGAATTAGAAAGATGTGCTTTGTATTTAGCAGCTGAGAAAGAAGTCCCTGGGGATTGAGGCAAATAGCGTTGCAGCCATTGGGGTGCAGGGAGCAAAAGCAATGCTTCAGTGGCTTAGGAGCACGTACTGGGTGAGGAAGAGGAAAAACATATGAGTGCTTTTATTTTTCAATTAGAGTTGGCATTCAATATTAGTTTCAGGTGTAAAGCATAATGGTTAGACATTTATATAACTTACAAAGTGATACCCCCAATAAGTCTAGTACCCACCTTAAATAGGAGGCAATTAATTTGATTAAGGATGAAAATGAATAGTTAACAAATACCCATATTGTATCACACAGTCGTGGACACTTAGTGTGTCATCCTGCTAAATATGAAGTAATACAAATGTCTTAGAACAATGCCAATGAAATTCTCTTTCATTGAGTCTTAAAGGAAATTGAAAGACTTTCTGTTCCATATAATGCTTGGAAATAAATTGTATAACCAGCTTATGATTCTTTCCATCCTCTGTGTACAAAAAGGAAATCTTCTTTGTATGTAGTATTCACGTGGTCATAATTTTCAAAATGATTTGCTCTTAATGTCTCATGGTCAAAGAATTATTATTAGAGAGTGACAGGGCACATGTTCACATGCATGCATGGTAGCAGGAGAGAGAATGAAAGAATGAATGTATTGCAGCTCTGTTCAGCCAAAGACCAGGGACATAGCTATAGTTGAGTAGGTTGGGCTTATTAACTCATATTACTCATTGCAGCAAGGACTAATGGACATACTGTGATACGATGGGGTGTTTCAGCAAGCGAGTGTTAGACCTGTCGTAGAATTTGAGCTTGGGTTGGGTAATTTCAGGGAGGATCTTAGGAAGCAGGGACTCATTCTGTCTTTGGGTGCTGTCAGAAGGTTGGATAATTCTATGATTGGGTATCATTACATCTTCTAGGGAGGGCAAACATGTATTGGTTAGAGTTTTAAATAATTCTCTCCTAATGTTTTATATCAATATAGCAAGACTCATTACCTTAGGATATACTTTTCAGCTGAATCAGTAGCATTAAACTGCACTTCCACTTGGAAAGTTTGTTATATTTCTGGGGAATGAGCAGAAAACAGAAGATTCTTGCATTAGTCCAGATGGAAAGTGGGTGGTGATGGGGACTGACAGGCGGGGCATTTTCAGAAATAATTAAAGGATAGAGTGGACAGAACTTAATGTCGATGTAGAAC